AGTTTATGCAATATGATGTACTATACATTATTTGTTTTCTGTAAAGATTTAATAAACAGTACGCACTTGTTTGACTACGGATTAAAAAAAAAAAAAAAAAAAAAATATAAGTTAAGATCGAAAGTTTATTATATCCAGAATTCATTATTTTTTCTGTATCCGTAATACCAATTTCTGAATAATAATGGTAACAATTTTTTTTATTCAATGATTTTATTTTGTATGAAAAGTTCTTTTTCACATTACTTTTTATAATAATCTTATGGAATTATTGTTTAAAGCTTGTTCCTACAAAATCTTATAAAACAAATATAAAGATCATTTATTAAAAATATTCATATACGTATATTCTTCGAATATCCTACCTAACGAATTATAATTAAATATGTATTACTGAATATGTCATCAAGCTTTTTGGACTAAAATCTCACATCGATCGATCGATCAATCAATTGTCTTTGTTATAAAAATAGCAATATCAGAAATCGATTTTCGTTAAGGTTATACTCATTTTAAATAATCATTATTTAAAGGTAACGCGTATCGGCATCCTGTCGGATGCATTTGCATGACAATTTACATTGGAACTTTCACATAACAGAATATCAATCGAAATTCACGGGTAGATAAATTTGTGCCTTTTTGATTTGCGGTTTAGCTTGGGTGTGAACGAACTAATAAATTCGCATACAATATTTATCAAACTACTGAATGACTTACATCAACGCTTTTCGGTTAATGGTGTTCAATAACTCGCAACTTATTCTTCAAAGCATTCGTCTTCATCATTCCATTTGATCAAATCGATGTTAATCCCCATCTTTATGAGCATATATTTCATTGTGTTTTTCTGTTCAATGTTTCCTCTCCTTGTTTCATATTCATCATCATTATCTTCTTGATCCGAATATTCACGTCTTTGTTTGCCTTTCGATTCATCCGAATCGTCCCAACCCCAATTGCTGTTTCCCCACGACTCCGAAAATCCTTCTGATTCAAGAAACGATGACTGCTTTGGAATCTTTGAGAATAGAAATTCCGCGGCTTCCTGACTCGCCTTTCTCCAAATTTTTATGAGGTTTTCATTATTAGCATCTTCGTCCTTTCGTAGGGGACATTTAGCAGGAACACATTAATATTCAAAACGAAAAGTGAAGTAATCATAATGAGAATAATAATGGAACAAAAAAAAAATGAATGCCTTTTCTTGGTATTTTAACAATAACTTAGTCCTCCGAATATTAGTTTCACTATCCTCAATATTCTTTTCCAATTGTCGTCGTTGTTCAGTTAACGCTTTGATTTCCGGGTTTGAGAGTGATTGAACCAGAGGAGATTTAAACATTTGTTTTCCTAATCTTCTTGAAGATGACAGAGGAGTTCTTTTGCCAGATGTAATTGGTGAAGATCGACCAGTTGGCGTTGAAGTCGGTGTCAGACCAGAAAGCTTGGCTCGAGTTTTACTTATTATTGAAGCCATCGATTGATGTTGAGTCTTGGCTCCAAGAGAAATTCTTTTTGATACGCGCTCAGGCTTTTTTACAGTGAATACATTAGAATACATCAATATAAACGCTAAAGAGTCTGTATCACAAGAGTCCCACGTACTGTTCTTAGATCGATCTTTTCGACTTTCTGTTCTTGATCAACCTGTCATTAATCCAGATCTTAGGATCATAAAAAACGACATGTCTGGCGAATAGACTCGAGCGTGAACTTACATCCATTGCCTGGACATCACGTTCTGAGCCCTTCTCCACTGGCAGAGGAGGAATCCAATAGATTATCACTTCATGCTTTTTATTGTCGGTATGAAATTTCATGGAATGCATTGTTTTTTTTTCAACTAATCTTTCTAGCAATTCTTGCACTTTGGATCGTTTTTTTCTCTACGATACGCGAAAATTTAACCGTGTTTCATATTATCGAGGAAATATGAGAATGTTGAAATCTTTTATACCAATTTCCTACAAGGACCCAAAAAAATATTCAGCAGTTCTTGTTGAGTCCAAACGTGTAATGCATCTTTAGAAAACGTTGTAATATTAAGGAGTCCATGCAACGCTAGAATTTGCATAGAAAGCGGTTGCTTTGAGTTGCCGACTTCCATTTTTTTTTTTTTTATTAATTAGTGGAAAAATAACAATCATTCGCGTCTGCAGGCAGTTGAAATTTATATTGGATGATCAGAGCTCAGCATTATGCATGCGAGTTTGATTACTGTCATGCATAATCAAAGTTTTTTCCCCGAGCTTTATCAAAGATGCTGCCCTTAATAGAGCAATTAGAAGCGACTCTCGAGAAACGCATAAAACGCAATCTTATTCGCTCTCTGGTGGTAACTTCTCCGAATTCCGTTGACTTCTCTTCAAACGACTTCCTCGGTCTTTCTCGAAATTCCACTCTCCAAAAAAACTATCTAAAAGCCCTTTCAAACTTTCCGCAATCACTGTTAGGTTCAACTGGTTCACGCCTGTTAGATGGAAATTCTTCGTATGCGGAATCATTGGACACTTTTTTAGCACAATTCCACAAGTCGGAATCAGCACTGACATTTACTTCTGGGTTTGACGCCAACGTTGGGTTTTTCAGTTGTGTCCCGCAACCTGGTGACGCTATAATTCTAGACGAATTTGTGCACGCAAGCGTCCATGACGGTACAAGGAGTACGAGGGCATCAATTGTTACTACATTTAAACACAATGACCTCGGAAGTCTTGAGGAAACATTAACCAAAGTTGTCGAGAAAATTGGTTCCCAAAAGAATATGTTTGTTGCTGTGGAAAGTCTGTACTCTATGGACGGAGATTTTGCTCCAATTAAAGAGATAGTTGAAGTTTTGAAACCTTACAACGCATACTTGTTTGTTGATGAGGTAGATATTCTACGCAGTTTAATCATTTTTCTTAATCTAGAGTTTTTTTTATTCAAATCAAATTTCGTGCCTTGGCCTTTAACGCATAGGCCCATGCAACTGGTGTGTATGGGAGCCAAGGAAGGGGAATTGTATGCGAACTAGGATTAGAACGAGAAGTATTTGCGCGTCTCCACACTTTTGGAAAGGCTTTGGCCTGCAACGGAGGTTGGCATTCAACTTTATTTATAATTACTACAAAAAAAAAAAAAGAATTATAATTAACTAATTCAATTCTTCTTGACATGTGAACATCCACGCGCATTACGTGCAGCGGCAATACTTGGTCCAAAAGTCTTAAGATCTTATTTAATCAATTATGCGAGACCTTTAATATACTCAACTTTTTTACCACATAGTAGTCTTGTGGCTATCAGATGTTCATACGAGTTTATGTCGGGAGAAATTGGAGATCAGGTACTTTTTCAATCCAAGTCCATATTGAAAACAACATCATTATCATCTATTTGATTAATTCCTACTTTTAAATGTCTAAAGCTCCGAAAAAATTTAAGGGAATTAATTCGTAAATTCCGAACCAGCATTAAATTACCAGACGATACATTGTTGCCATCGGAGAGTGCAATTCAGGGAGTTGTTATTCCGGGTAAGGGTTGTATACCTCTCTTTCTTTCTTTGTCGCGCAATGTTAACGCGTACAAAAAAAACGCCTTTTTTTGATTGTAGGCAACGAAAATGCAGTGAAATTAAGTCAGGCAATTCAAAAAGCAGGCTACAACGTGAAACCGATAAGATCACCAACGGTGCCTGTCGGTAAAGAACGTTTAAGAATTTGTATTCACGCAGATAATACAGAGGAGGAAATTTTGGGGTTGGCGAATATCATACAAAGTTATTTCAGAGATCATGTCTATGATAAAAACAAAGACAGTAATGTTATCCGTGGTATTAACTCTACAAAAAAACAAGTAACAATTCCAACTTCCAAGCTTTAAAATCCGCTATGATATGATTATTATTCAATGTTTATTAATGATCGTTACATTGTTGCTGGTATATCGTAAGTGCCTCTCGTAATTTGACAAATATGTCCGATAATAAATATCATTGATTTGTTTAATGATGACAGTTCACGTGTAGTTGCCGAGTGTAACGTGACGCAACCGTAACACTGCCGCGACGCATATAATAAAATTACGAGTTTTTTCAAAAAGTTTAATTTTCTTTCTCAAATACCGAAAAAAAAAAATGACAGCCCGCAAGTGCATTCGAGAACTGCGTAAAAAATTAGACAATTATCTTAAAGACTATGGAAATATCGAAAAAATCAAAGAATTTGCGGAATCACTTCAGACTTCTAAAATTATTTCTATTGATCTATCAACTTTACATAACTATAAACCCTCTGACACCAGCTTAGATACGGGAGCTTGCTTTTTGCTTCCTCCTAAATATCGAGACGATTATGAATGTTACAAATCAAAGGAAGATGGAGATTGCTTATTTAATAGTGCTTCTATTGTACTAACTGGAACTGAAGATTTGTCAATTAAACTCCGTTTAGCCGTTCTACGTGAACTAATTGTACATTCAAAAAACTATCTTTCACTTGATGAATTCAAGAAAGCAATCACTTATTCTGATAGAGCACTTGATATAGGGGATTCTGCGCCACCAGAAAAGAAACACGAAGTTAGATATTTCGCGCAAATCAGAGAAATGTGTGAAGTGGGGGCTTGGTGTACTTTGTTGGCGATATACGGGTTGTCCTCGGTATTAGAAAGGCCAATTGAATCGATATTTCCCCCAGTCAGAAATTCTCTGTATGCTGATACATTTTCTCGGACGGTAAGACCAAGAGTGCCGAAGAACAAAGATCCAATTATGATTCTATGGACTAATATCAGTGTGACGGACGAAATAAGTGCTTCAACTTTTCTGGATGAATTAGCACCGTCGTGTAATCATTTTGTTCCTGTCTTAAAAAAGGTATGTGTTGTCGTCGAATTTTACTAAGACCGTTTCCTTTGACAACCTGTGATAATTTAATCTATTTCGAATTTTCAATTTACAGAAAAAAACAATACAGAGTAAAAGACAAGTAAGAAATGAATATTATAACGTTCTAACAATTCATTATATGGCATTAACCATCTTTCATAAACTAGATTTCTTCTGTTGACAATGATAATTCCTCCATGATTATTAAACGTAGGATGTATGCACTCAAAAATTCACAAAAGAACGAATGAATTGACTTGCAAAAAGTATTGTACAAAAAAGTATTAGTGATCATGTATGTGTGACATCAAAATCCCTCAATCCTTGGTTTCGAGAAACCCTCCCAGGACTTGAATAAAAGCAACACGATTTGCAGGATCAAAATAGGAATAAATTATTTATCGCTGGTATCGGTGATTAATTTTTAATTCTTTTTTTTTTTTATATATATTACGTACATAAGTTAGGATCCATGTAACGTCTTTGACTTATTTAGGCAGAATCATGTGGGGTAAAAAAGTAACCTAACATAGTTCGATCTACAGTCTATCACTAAATTTGATTAACAATGGCAAGTGGATTAGTTCATTCAGCCGCAGCCAGCTGAAAAACTTCTTTCTACAGTTTTTTATCAAATTTCACGTCCGAAGGTCGATGCGAAAATCACGAACTCTGAATAAATCCTTATTACTACCAACCGTTGGGTAGCGAAAGCCAGGCATCCATTCGTTTAATGGCACAAAATAAGACTTATTATTTATTTATATTAACTCCAAATTGATAATAAACAATTTTATTATATTGAGTTAATCTTGTACGCATCTAAATTTGTACGACGAAGAAAATATGCTTAACACAAACGTAATGTACTCTTTATCAAATTACATCAAAAAATTCTTATTAATTATATGAACAAATCATCATTAGCAGAATTCATTAACACAAAATTTATGATAATGCCAATAAAAATATCTTGGTAATTAATTGTTTTTTCTCAAAAAAAATGTATACATACAAAAAAATTCTCATAACCATTTTTTAATAGCACTACCGCTTATGCGTATCTAGATTCGATGGTCTAACAAGATTACTTATGTTTTAAGAGGTTAATAACATTCATTTGAAGAAAAATAATTAGCATTATGCAACAGTCTAAATCTTTAATTTAGACGCTTCATAATATAGATATAAAGTTTTAATGCATTTTAAAGAATAGTCTACTTTCTTTATAAATTAATTACAAGAATATAAGTTTGATTATTAATACATGATTTAGACATGAAATATCACCAGCAATTATTTACATGTTGAATACGACTAATCCTAATTATAAAGATCATTTTCATTTTACTGGATTTTTGCTCAATTAACACTATAAATGATTCTTTCTAACTTTAAACAAAAAATGATGTTAGTAGGATTCTAATAGAAAACCATTTTTACAGAAACGTTTGAATCAAGCATCAGTCTGCATTTCATCTTCGTCGTCTGATCTATCTTCCCTGAAACGAGGATTCTTTGAAAAGAAAAATTTAAAATCATTAAAAACTTCGTTTTTCACGTTAATACAGCAATAACAATAATACCTTGACTTTTTCATGACCATAACTTTCTTCTTGTTCATCATCTTCTTGTCTATTGCGTTTCTTGGAAATTGATGCTGACAGCATGGCAAAAGATAATCAGATGTAATGCCAAAAATCAACTGTCTGTAAATCGAAAGTAAGGTTATACAAACATTTCCCCTTGTATTCTGAAGCTCCACTAGGAACGATGGTGATAGCCTCATATTCTTCTTTCTGTCTTCTTGCGCGTTCAGCCTCTTGCTTAGCACGAACATGGCCCCATCCACCTCGTCCTGAATCGTAATCTTGACGATATTCATCACGAACCTATCAGATAAAGTTTTTAGTAATCACCATGAACTTTTCAAAGAAAACTAAAGACACTGAATTATATATTACCTGACCGCCCGATCTTCCTCTTCCATATTGCCTTCCATCTCTGTATCCAGGGTCCAAGTCTGTTCTTATGATTCGTTCATCCAACTTCGTACTATTTATGTATTTCATGCAATCCAATGCATCTTGATGATGATAGTATCTTTGCACGTTAAAAGAAATTAATTATAAGCTTCGCGTCGAAATGTCCAAATGAAATCTCGGTCTAATAATATAACACTTACTCAACGAAGCAAAATCCACAAGGAGTTTTCTGAAACTTATCCAAACCCATAATTATTCTTTTTATTTCTCCGGCTTTTGAAAATAGTTCATAGATTTGTTCCTCGGTAGTGTAAAATGATAAATTTCCGACATAAAGAGTTGTGCTATTAGAAAGATCTTTAGCTAACTCTGTGGATGAACCCTAGAAAATAATCAATTTTTTAGTTTTCCTCAAATTTGAAACTGTTGGAAAGAGGCCAAAAGTACCTGGTATTGTTGATCTTTATAGGAAGAAGGTACACAAAGTGGTTGAACGATATTAGCCATTTCGAAAGTTTTTGCAAAGAGAGACGCAAAAATGTAATCTTTGCGATTGGTCGATTAACAAATTCATTTTTATAGCTAACCCAAAAATAGAAAAAAAAATAAGTCATTAATAATGCATTAATAAACATATACGTAATTATAAAAATATACAATTTATTTTTGAAATTATTAATTTCCAATTACAAAATTCTATTTCAAAATTTAATTTTTCAAATATTATTTGATTTGATTTGATCATTAAAATTTTTTTATAAATATCATTAGAATAAAGATTATTATTTATAACTTTATTATCAAATTAATAAACCATTTAAATTATGGTTACGATTACGGTATTTTGTTTTTTTAAAAAAAAATAAAATCAAATTATTATTGTAATTATTATTTATATTTGAAAATGAAATTGAATTCTATTTGATTTTTTTAAATCAATTTGATTTAAAATTCATCAGTTATTATTTTTTTCTAAACAGATTCAATTTAAATTTAATTTTTTTCTATTTGATTTAATCTTAATTTTTTTTTTAATTGATTTTAATTTTTTTTTATCTTTTTTATTTTTTTAATTTTAAACTTACAGCCTGGTCCAAAAAAAAATCAGAATAAACTATATTTTTAATTTTACTTATATTTAATAATTAATAATTAAATTATTATAAATAAATATATATATTGTATATAATTGAAAATATTAAAAATAAGTTTACTTAATAAACTTTTTTAAACATATTATCTAATATTCATTAATTTAAATTTATTAGAAAAAATTATTAAAATTATATCAATAGATAAATTTGTTAAATAAGAATATATTTTATAATAAATTGATTTTTTTGTAATTTTACTATTAAAAAATTTTTGTTTTATTTTATAATTTAATTAAAATTTAATGTGTATTTTTTAAATTTTATATTAAAATCAAATTTTTAAAGAATTTAAAAATTTTTTAAAATTAATTTTATAAAATAAAAAATAAAATAATTTTAATATTATTATTTAAATATAATAAAAAATATTTTATAATTTTTTTATAAATTAAAAAAATCTTGATTTTATAATTAATTTTTTTTGAAAAATTTATTAGAATAAAAATTTATTTTTCAAATAAATGTAACAACACTAATAATAAAATAAGTAATAGAAAGCATATTATATATGTAATATAAATAAGTTAATGAAAAAAGCAAAATCATAAGAATATAATAGTTCAAACTATCAGGTAGTAACAAAGAATTTATTTCAATAAACCAAAATTAATATTGAAGAGTTTTTATTTATCAGAATAAACTTTTTAACAAATCTTTTTATTAACTTTTATTTTTTTAAAAAATAAAACTTTTTTTTATCTTTTAGGATCACAAGTTTTGTATTGAAATAATAGTTTGAATATAAATAGACTTTGATCTTTTAAGGTATAGACTTTGATGTCCTGTTTTAAAAAGAAATAATTTTTATTATTTTCTATAATTATATCTAGAAAATTCAAATTTAGAAAGTTTAAGATATTAATATTACATAATGATAGTTTAATGAACCTATTCACTTGTAGTAAGATAATTAGTAAATAACTAATTATATAAGCAATATAATAGTCTTGATATTGAGAATTCAAGAATTACAGTCAAACCTTTTTATACCGATATGATTAGTTTTTTTAGCAAAAAATATCAATATTGTAACATTTAATGTGTGGGGACATTATAATGTTAGGATTAATAAAAGAAAACTTTATTAAATATGAGAGAAATCAGACAACTCTGTTATTTCCCAAAGGAAAAAGTGCTTCCTTATATAGATAATTTTCCTATATAAATAAATAAAGTAATAATACATAATTGAATATAATACATATAATC